ACCGCTTGGGTAGTTCAGACCACCCCAGCTAAGTGGGTGCGGCTGGACGGACCCCTACCCTGGGTCTTAAAACATGAGGGGAGGTGCGGGAGGCCCCTGTGCTCTCCCTGCCGACCTGCTGGAGAAGGCAGGTTAGAAGCTGTGGAGGAAGATTCCCGGGCACTGTGGTAAGGTATCTCTGCGATGGCTCCCCTGGAAACGTGTGTGGCGCCGGCGGTTCGTAGTTAATTCGGACCTTCTGTCCCCAGGCTGAAGTCAACTCCACGGCCCAAGTTCTCGGTCTGCCTGCTGGGGGACCAGCAGCACTGCGACGAGGCCAAAGCGGTTGACATCCCTCACATGGACATAGAAGCTCTGAAGAAACTCAACAAAAACAAGAAGCTGGTGAAGAAGCTGGGTGAGTGGTGGCAGTACCTCTGAGTACCTCTGGCTAACTTGGGAGGGCTGGGTAAGCAGGACGGTTTCCCCTGCGCTGAGATTTCCATGTCATGGTTAACTGCAGGGAATAGGAAGCTGACCAGAGTCAGCCTGGAGTACAGAAATCTGTCCAGAAACCACCCGCGAGAGCAAACGACCTGTTAGGAGAGCAGGAGGGCAGGTCAGCCCGCCGGGAGTGAGGTTGATTGCTCTCCTCCGGAAGGGAGAGAGACAGGAAAACTCTTCCTGTGTCCCTGAAAGTTTCACCCTTAGCTGGTGTTCCTCACTTCACCGGTCAGGGAGCTGGAGGCGAAAGTTCGATTTAGTCCCGCAGTGCTTAACTAACAGAAGGACCCTTGCTTATTTTCACTTGGTAAGAGAGAAAACCCTTCCCTCCCTGCAAAGTCAAAGTCATTTTGATACGTATCTTAGACAAACAAGAAAAACTTCCCACTCAGTCTGTAATTAGCCATGGAACCATGCGTAATTGGGAAATGACATAGGATACCGCGGCTGCTGGCTGGGGCCCTCTGAGGGGTGTCCGGCCATCCGCCCGCGCTGCTGCAGGAGGCTGCCGGTGGAGCTCGGGAGTTCGGCGTTGGCCGCCTGCGGCTCAACAAATGCTTCAGGGAAATGAGCTACATACAGTGGGAGTGTGGGACTGCTGTCAGGATGTGAAGCTGAGTGCTGGCAGGCTTGAGTGGTGCGACAGGAGTAATTTTTAATATAATATCAGTAGAAACTGCTTAGGTTCGGCTAGTCAGGACGCTGGGAACGTGGAAATGCACACGTGAGGGAAATGGAGCAGCGCAGCCTCAGCTGAGCTGTTAGTTTCAAGCTCGGCGTAGGAGCTGAGGGTCCGTCCTTACCTACCTCGGTTCTCTCCTCGCAGCGAAGAAGTACGATGCCTTCCTGGCTTCCGAGTCCTTGATCAAGCAGATTCCTCGAATCCTGGGTCCAGGTTTGAACAAAGCCGGCAAATTCCCTTCTCTCCTCACTCACAATGAGAACCTGGTGGCCAAGGTGGATGAGGTCAAATCTACCATCAAATTTCAGATGAAGAAGGTAAAGCAGGGCTTTTCCTCTCCAAGGCAGCTACATACCCGAGGGTTATTTGTGATGGGTGGTCACTTGTATGTGGCTGCGATCTCCAGTCTGGGCTGTAGGTGTCCCTCGAGCGTCTTCCTAAAACAGCAGCCGGTGAGAACTCTCCTCTGCAGCGAAGGGAAGACGTTACCTGGAGCACTCAGCTGCTAGCTGGGAAGGAGGAGTAATTTATCTGTGGTTGAAAGATCTTAGAGCAAATGATTAGGAGACGATCTTGATGTTTCAGTGCTGAGCACAATCAGTCATAATTAACGCTTCTTACAGTAAGTGGCTGACACTTGCAGGGTGGGGCCCCCGGGCCAGGCGTGCCCCCGTGGGTCTGTGCACGCAGCAGTGCTTTGCCAGAGGCAAGTTTGGGACTTGACTCTGCAAGTGAACTTCGGAGCGGCTCTGCGGATATCTGCTCTTGCTGTCAAGAGATGTCAAGGCGAGCTGACTCCCTAAAACCAAAATAGCACTGTTGGGGCGTTTTAATCTCATGTCAGCGGTCTAAATGTGACTCATGGGTATTATTCAGAATTAACAGCTCTGCTAGCTGAGGTGCATCCTTGGACTCCAGCTGATCTGGGCCTGGGGGCACAACAACTGGGAGGGCACAGCAAATGTCATAGTTTGCAAACGCTCGAGCATTTTAAGTAACTGAGCTAATGATGTCCTGACACTTCGCCTGTCAGCTCGCTCGTAAATCCTTTTGTCTTCAGCCTGTGGGGAGCGTTGATTTTTACAAGCTTCTCGAGGAGGCTGGCAGGCAGAGTCTTGGCCTCTCTGTGTCTTATGTGCGGAAAGAAAGGGCTGGTGGCTGGTGCCCAAAACAAAAAGTGAAGCCGGCGCCATGCTTAGCAGTGGAGTTTGGAGCTAATCGTCTGTACCGCGCCGGGTTAGCGGTTTGCAGGGCACATGCCAACGCTGCCTAATGAGCAGGGTGTGGGAGCGGAGTTAAACCAGAGGTCTGCTCCTGCTCCAGCGCAGCGTGTTACGCGTCCTTCCCGGTTCCCCCGTCTCTGGGAGGCAGCGGTGCTCGCCGCCTTCCGTAAGTCATCCTTGCAACTCTGAGGAGGCAAGCTGTTGTTGAGAGGTGGCGTCCAGATGCTACCAGGCACGTTCATGGGCACCACGTGCCAAATACAATGAGCTCGGTGGAAACGCCCATGGATAAGCTGGAGAAGTCACGTCCAGCTGACAGAACATGAGATAATCCGATACCCTGACGAGTTTAGATCAGCGCTAGGCTGTTTTGTCAACTCGCTTGGCTCTAATCTTTGATTGCCCCGCAAAACCTTTACTTGTGTGAGTGACCCTGGTGTCCGTGTCCCCCAGGTGCTCTGTCTGGCTGTGGCCGTCGGTCACGTGAAGATGACAGAAGATGAACTCGTCTAAAACATCCACCTGGCCATCAACTTCCTGGTGTCCTTGCTGAAGAAGAACTGGCAGAACGTGCGTGCTTTGTATATCAAGAGCACCATGGGGAAGCCCCAGCGCCTGTACTAATGGGGCAGCAATAAACTTTTAGGACACCTATAGCTGTGTGTTTGGTTGTGTTCCTCCAAAGCTTGTTGGGAAGGGTTTGCTGAAGAGCTGCTCGCTTCCTTGTAGCCAGAAACGCTGTGTTGAGCTGATGGGGACGTGAATTGAAGCGGAGTATCAGACTATCGGAGCTTTTGAGGGAAGGAGCCTCATCATCCTGCATTCAGAGCAGGGTGGGGAGGGGGAACAGCTCCACCCGCATCCACAACAAGCAAAACTGAGGTGGTTACCGCAGCTGCGGGTGTGCAGCGCAGGTGTAACTGCTCAGCAGACGGGCTGTAGCCCCAAGATCACCCGGCTCGCCCGCAGAGGGGACCCTTACCTTGTGCTGCAGTCGCCTGGAGCCACCCTGCGGGCAGGGCTCTGCCCTGTCCCCGGCAGCCTCCTCGCTCTGGGGGAGCGGGCTGGGGGGCGCTGGCATTTATAGGCTTCTGCTGGCCCTGCAAGCGGCCACGGGGTCCTGCCCAGCAGCAGCTCGTGAGGCCTTGATGGGTGTCTTCCAGGGGGTGGGATCCACTTAACCGGTGGGATCCAGAGGAATGGAGGGTCCGGGGGGGGGGGGGGGG